TTTTTTTTTTTTTTTTTTTTTTGAGACAGAGTCTTGCTCTGTTGCCCAGGCTGGAGTGCAGTGGCACGATCTCAGCTCACTCCAACCTCTGCCTCCCAGTTCAAGTGATTCTCCTGCCTCAGCCTCCCGAGTAGCTGGGATTACAGGTGCCTACCATCACACCAGCTAATTTTTGTATTTTTAGGAGAGATGGGGTTTTACCATATTGATCAGCCTGGTCTGGAACTCCTGACCTCAAGTGATCCACTCACCTCAGCCTCCCAAAGTGCTGGGATTTGCAGGCATGAGTCACTGCAACTGGCCTTTTATTTTATTTTATTTTTATTATTATTACTTTTTTGAGATGGAGTCTCTCTCTGTCACCTAGGCTGGAGGGCAGTAGTGCAGTATAGGCTCATTACAACCTCCGCCTCCCAGGTTCAAGTGATTCTCCTGCTTCAGCCTCCCAAGTAGCTGTGACTACAGGTGTACGCCACCGGGCCCAGTTAATTTTTGTATTTTTAGTAGAGATGGGGTTTTATTATATTGGTCAGGTTGGTCTTGAACTCCTAAACTTGTGATCCGCCCACCTCAGCCTCTCAAAGTGCTGGGATTACAGGCGTGAGCCACCGTGCCCGATCTGGCCTTTAAAAAAAAAAAAAAAAAATACAGGGTCTGCTGGCTTGTGCTAGAGTGGTGTGGTTTTGCTTGTGAGGGTCATAAGATGGTAACGCTCCTGGAACATAGAAATACCGTATCCCACCGTGGGTGAAAGTTCCCGAAGACCTGAAAGATCCAGAGGTGTTCCAGGTCCCGACGCGGCTGTTGGAAGCCATCTTCGGCCGGGAAGGATGTCGAATCCCTTACATCGAACAGGTGAGCAAGGCCATGCTCAAGCTAAAGGCTCTGGAGTCTCCACACTTCACCAAGGTCGTGGTTTACGGCTCCTACATATATAAGCTCCGGGCCAAGTGGATGCTCCAGTCTGTGGCTGAGCGGCACTGCCAGCACCAGGAACGAGGGATGCTCAAACTGGAGGAAACCATGAATGCCCTCGAACTGGGCCCTTGGATGAAGCCAGCTTCCAGCCAGGATGAAGGCCAGGATGTAGAGATTAGTTTGTGGCCAGAGCTGGAGTGATTTCTCCAGCTTGGTTTAAAATCTGTTACAGCCTGACGAGTTGAGGGAAAATCATCTGTTTAGGGGTTTCTAAAGTCTTGTTGTGAATATCTCTTTGATGGTTGCCAATAAAAGTTTTTTCCCCCATTTTAAAAATTAACAATAAAGTTTTAAATCAGTAGGTAAAATAAACAAACAAAAAACAGTGTCTCACTGTCATCCAGCCTTGCGCACCCACACTGAAATGATCTTCCCACTTCAGCCTCCCCTGTAGCTGAGACTACAGATTTGCACCACCATGCGTGGCTGAGTTTTAAAAATCTTTTGTAGAGATGGGGTTTCCCTATGTTGACCAGGCTGGTCTCCACCTCCTGGGCTCAAGCGATCTGCCCACCTTGGCCTCCCAAGTTTCTGGGATTGCAAGCACGAACCACTGTGCCTGGCTTCTTGTTTTGATTTCCTCTGTGATTCAGTCTTCTTGCTGTGGGAGCTGGGCCACAGGACAGCCTGGGAAATAGATACTTTCTGGCCTCAGAGTTGAATCTCCTCTCTGTCCTTGGCCTATAGTTCTAGAACCTGAGTGGTGTGTGACTCTCTCATTCCTATGACAAATTCTCTGCTTGAAGGCTTTTGAACTCTCCGTGTAGCTCCATGCAGGTAAAGGGCTCCATGCAAGTAAAGGAATCCCTCTGATAGACCTGAGTCCCGGGGTAACACAGCCTGGTTTCAAACTGGAGTGCTTGTAATACACAGTCATCCTCGGCTCTCACGATGCTTTCTTCTAATTATTGCCCTTCCATGCCTGAATGCCCACCTGTGGAGCCTCTGGTGAAACTTTCACTCATAGGTCCTCCTGGAGCATCCACTTTACGTTGCTTTCATGAGTTTTTTTGAGATGGACTTTCGCTCTTGTTGCCCAGGCTTGAGTGCCATGGGGTGATCTTGGCTCACCGCAACCTCCACCTCCCGGGTTCAAGCAATTCCCCTGTCACAGCCTCCCAAGTAGCAGGAATTACAGGTACCTGCCACCACACCCAGCTAGTTTTGTATTTTTAGTAGAGACAGAGTTTCTCCATGTTGGCCAGGCTGGCTTCGAACTCCTGACCTCAGGCGATCCTCCTGCCTCGACCTCCCAAGGTACTGGGATTACAGGTGTGAGCCACCACACCTGGCCTAGGTCTCAATTTTCTTATCTGTAAAATAGGAAGACAATTGTTTGTTCCTCATAGGTTTGTCGTGAAAATTAAATAATATGTGCTTCAATAGGGCCCAGCACACAGTAAGTGCTCTGCAAACCATAGCTATTGATCATTAAACTTACTGGACAGACGAAGAAGAAAACATCTTCAAAAACTGAATCCAAGGTTAGAAATCTGGTCAGGCAAGTCCAGGCTCGACAACTGTCTATGGTGCAAGAGGGGCCTCACTCTCTGTATTTAGTGTGTTTCAGGTTAAAACCTCACTGCCTGGGGTGGTTTGGTTTCAAAAGTGGAGAGAAAAATGCTCAGGGGTCACGAGAGAAAACTGAGGAGGCTGGGGTTGGGGGTGGTCCTGTGGAGTGGAGACCTGGGGTTATGGGACCCGCAGGGCACTGGGCAGAAGCAGGAAAGTCTCAGAGCTTTATTTCTGTGGACAAAGCAACAAGCCGCAACCACGGTACTTAACAGTTGCACGGACAATGCAGTTTTTTGTGTTTTTTTTTGAGATGGAGTTTCCCTCTTGTCACCCAGGCTGGAGTGGCACGATCTCGGCCCACTGCAACCTCCGCCTCCTGGGTTCAAGCGATTCTCATGCTTCAGCCTCCCGAATAGCTGAGATTACGGGCGTCTGCCACCTCACCCAGATAATTTTTGTATTTTTGGTAGCGATGGGGTTTCACCATGTAGGCCAGGCTGGTCTCGAACTCCTGACCTCAGGTGATCCGCCCTCCTCGGCCTCCCAAAGTGCTGGGATTACAGGTGTAAGCCACTGCACCCAGCAAAACTATAATAATCTTGAGGCACCCTATGATAGAAGATGGGGTGTTCATCCCTGAGTTAAATGAGTTGCCCTGGTCAGTATTAGATATCCACCTGTGCGAAGCCCATCAGAGGCTGTAATTAAACAACTAATAATATAAACATAGTAAAATAGCTACAAGGAATGTTTATTTTTCAAAGCTCTTCAACAATTTTTGCCTCCAGAGTTGCAAATCCTTTTTGAAAAGTAATAAGGGCGCTGGGCGTGGTGACTCACGTCTGTAATCTCAGCACTTTGGGAGGCTGAGGCAGGCAGATCATTTGAGGTCAGGCGTTTGAGACCAGCTTGGTGGACATAGCAAAACCCTGTGCTACTAAAAAGTACAAAAATTAGCCGGGCTTTGTGGCGGGTGCCTGTAATTCCAGCTACTCGGGAGGCTGAGGCAGGAGAATTGCTTGAACCTGGGAGGTGGAGGTTGTAGTGAGCCAAGATCGTGCTACTACACTCCAGCCTGGGTGACAGAGCCAGACTCCGTCTCAAAAAAAAAAGGGGGGGTCCTGATATCATAAGCCAGCTGATGGCAAACAAAGCACAAAAACATGACATTTTGCTTTTTAAACGACCTTTGGAGGATGATTCATTTATCCAGCCAGTATTTACTGAGCACCTACTAAGGCCAGGCACAGGCTAGGCCCCAGGTATAGGTGTGAAGACAGAGACATGGCCCGAGGTCTCAGGGAGCTCTGAATGTTGTGGGGTAGGGATGCTACTGCACACACAAATAAGCCAATGTGGAAATGCATGGCCCACCCGTGCTATAAGGGAAGAGAAGGCAAAGAGCTCCGTACGTTCTCCGATTCTCTAAGTCCGTGATTTTACTCAGGCCCCCAAGCTACTTGATGGTCAGGATTCTTTCCAACTTGAGAATCCTGGAATTCCCACATGGCCCCTGCAAACAGCATGTGCGACGGTGCGGGCAGAGGTGGCTCTGCTTTTTCTTCAGCCCCTCAGCTGCCTCTGCTGCAGGCTGGCCCTCTCGGAGCTGTGGACTCTGTCTTCCTGCCCAGACAGGTAGATCTTACAACCCCAGCTGTGCACTTCGAGTGTGCAGCTGTTATCAAGTGCCCTGGTGACATGGGGAAGAACAGTGCTTCAGAGGTTAACGAAGTCATGGGAACCTCCACGGCTAAATCCCAGCCTCGTGTGTTGCTGTCATTTGTCGCTGTCTGGGCCGCGTGTTTGCTCTAGCGGGTCTGCAGCCCTGTCCCCACGAGTCCCGGCAGGGCTGCTCCAGTTTTACTGTTGAGGGAAGGACACCTGACTCGATACTTTTCCCAGAAACCGAAGGCCTTGAGAACAGAGTGTGTACTCTAAGAGTAGAAAGCATGATGGACTTGCATACATCTGGGCTTGATTTGCGAATCAAACTTCCAGGAAAGGTGAATAGAACCCCGTAGCAATTACTAACCAATCAAGACAGTTAGGAAGCCCCCTGCGCCTGTGAAAGGAAGAGGTGGGGAACAATAGTGTGAAAACACTGGGGTGGAGTGGCAGTTCTGATTTGTGCAGGTGGAGGAAGTAGCCCAGAGCTGAGAAGGATCCTGTGATTACATGGAAAGTTCTGTGTGTGTTTGCCTTCAATGCAGGGCATGGTCTCTTGCGTATTGTATAATAAAGGCTCAGTAACTGGAAACTAAGGCTAAGTACATGTCCATTCTTACTCAGGTTGGGTGGGTCTTTTTGGGGAATCCAGGGTGGTGTGGATTTGAAAAGCTTACAAATGACTTTGGCTAAGTGATTTCAAGAGATTGTGTGGGTGAACCAATCATTTCCTTGAATTTATAAAAACACTAGTAGTCGGCTGGGCACAATGGCTCATGCCTGTAATCCCAAGAGTTTGGGAGGCTGAGGCGGGCAGATCACCTGAGGTCGGGTGTTAGAGACCAGCCTGGCCAACACAGTGAAACCCCATCTCTACTAAAAATACAAAAATTAGCCAGGGGTGGTGACCAGCACTCCAGCCTGGGCAACAGAGTAAGGTTCCCTCTCAAAAAAAAAAAAAAAAAAAAAGCCAGGCGCTGTGGCTCACACCTATAATCCCAGCACTTTGGGAGGCTGAGGCAGGTAGATCATGAGGTCAAGAGATCAAGACCATCCTGGCCAACATGGTGAAATCCCGTCTCCACTAAAAATACAAAAATTAGCCAGGCGGGGTGGCGGGTGCCTGTAATTCCAGCTATTCAGGAGGCTGAAGCAGGAGAATGGCTTGAACCCAGAAGACAGAAGTTTCAGTGAGTTGAAACCACCCCACTCCCCTCCAGCCTGGGAAAAACGGCAAGCCCCCATCCCCAAAAAAAAAAAAAAAAAAAAAAAAAGAGCGAAAATGAGTGTCACAGTTCAATCTAGAGAGTTTTCTCCCAGGCAGTGGGTGAACAGGATGAAAAGGTTAGTTGGGGCCAGAATTAGGGAGTTTGGGCAGGTGTGAGATGAAATTCCATCTGACTCTGAGGCCACCTCTCTGGTGGCAGATGGAGGGAAGGCAGGAGAGGATGCAAGAGCCGGGCACTGCCAAAGGGGTAAAGGAGAGCTGACACAGCTGTGTCCTCAAGCAGCCAGGGCCAGTCAGGGAAATTAGACACATGCATGTCAACATCAGGGAGCAGGGCCACATAATGAAGCCTCATTGCCATCGTTTGGATGTGTGTCTCCACCCAAATCTCATATGGAAATGTAATCTCCAATGTTGGAGGTGGGGCCTAGGGGGAGCTGATTGGATCATGGGAGCTGATTTCTTATGAATGGCTTAGCACCATCCCTTTTGGTACTGTCTTTGCAATAGTGAGTTCTTGTGAGATCTGGTCATTTAAAAGCGTGTAGCACCTCCTCCCTAGCTGTCTTGCTCCTGTTCTGGCCATGTGATACACCTGCTTCCCTTTTGCCTTCCACCATGATTGTAAGTTTCCTGAGGTCTCCCCAGAAGCTGATCAGATGCTGGCCCTATGCTTCCTGCATAGCCTGCAGAACTGTGAGCCAACTAAATCTCTCTCTCCTTTTTTTTTTTT